TAACCAAAAAGACAGATAACAAGTGTTGGCCAGAGTATGGAGAAATTGGCCCCTTTATACAATACTAGTGAGAATGTAAAATGGTGTGGCCACTTTGGAGAACAGTCTGATGGTTCCTCAAAAAGTTAACCATAGAGTAATCACATGACCCAGCATATGCCGATGAGAACTGAAAACATGTTCATATGAAAACTTGTACACAAATGTTCATAGCAGCAGACAGAAAGTAGATTAGTGGTTGTCTAGGGCTGCAGTCAGTGGGAGGAAAATAGAGTGACTGCTGATGGATACAGGGTTTCTTTTGGGGGTGATAAAATGCTATAAAATTAATGGTGATAATGACTGCACAACTCAGACTATATTAAAAAACATTTGGGGCACCTGGCTGGCTCAGTTGGTAGAGCATGTGACTCTTGATCTCAGGGTTGTGAATTCAAGCCCCACATTGGACATGGAGCTTACTTAAAAAACAAAAAACATTTAATTGTGTAAATAGGTAAATTATGTGGATTATATCTCAATAAAGCTGTTATTTTAAAAGGCTGAAGGCATATGCCCAAATATTATTGATGGAAAATATATGTGATATAAAAACTGATGCAATAACAATAATCTGCACCTAAACCATAAATGATACTATCCTGGAATTGAGGGAGGGAAGAACAGGGCAAAAGGAGAAGTGTGAAATTCCTCACACATATAGGAAGTCATGAGACACTGAGATATTGTTTTACTCTTGATTAGAGTAAAAACTAAAATACAACAATTAATAGTATTAAAACCAAAATGTATATCCTCCAAATCACTAGAAAAAATAAATTAGAAGGAATTACACTTACAAGTTAACTGTGGTTACCTCATTACTATGACACTATGAGTGATTTTTATTTCTTCTTTATACTTTCTTTTCCACATTTTTACAATGGGCTTATTTTATCTTTGTATGAGTCTGCTTATCTTTGTGACTCTGACTTCTTTTTAAACCCAATTTAATTTACTTATGCATTCATTTATGGTTAATTTTTAATAGGTTAATATAGTCAGACAATTTGAAATTCAAGATACAGAAAGTATGGTGAAAAGTCTCCCTGCCACCTTTGCACCTCAGCTCCCCAGCCACCACCACTCCAAGCATGGAATCTATAAATATTATCAGTTTCTTGCGTATCTTTGTGGAAATACTTTATATATAGACTCTCTTCTGTCTTTTTAATACAAATACAGTTATATGTAGCGTTCTCCACTTTACTTCTTTTATTCAACAGTATATCTTGGAGACTGTCCCTCATCAGTATCTAAAAGTTTCCTCCTTTTTTTTTTTACTGTTTTATTTATTTATATTTTATTTTACTTTATTTTTTCTTATTTATTTATTTGTCAGAGAGAGAAATCGAGAGAGTGGCAGGCAGAGGGAGAAGCAGGCTTCCTGCTGAGCAAGGAGCCTAATGTGGGACTTGATCCCAGGACCTTGGGATCATGACCTGAGCTGAAGGTAGACACTTAACTGACTGAACCACCCAGGCATCCCTTTTTTTTTTTTTTAACTTTATTTTTTTCATCATGATAAGTGTACTCTTTAATTCCCTTCACCTATTTCAACCATCCTCTCACCCACCTCCCCTTTGATAACCATCAGTTTGTTCTCTGTAGTTAAGAGTCTATTTCTTGGATTCTCTCTTTTTTTTCTTTGCTCATTTATTTTGTTTCTTAAATTCCACATATGAGTGACATCATATAGTATTTGTCTTTCTCTGGCTGACTTAGTTTGCTTAGTATTATACTCTCTAGCTCTATCCATGTTGTTGCAAACAGCAAGATTTCATTCTTTTTATGGCTGAATAATATTCCATTATATATAAATATAAATACACACACACACACCATATATTCTTTATCCATTCATCAATCAATGGACACTTGGACTTCTTCCACAGTTTGGCTGTTGTAAATAATCTTGCAATAAACATAGGGGGCATGTATCCCTTTGAATTACTGTTTTTGTATTTTGGGGGGGTAAATACACAGTTGTGTAATTAATGGATCATAGTGTAGTTCTACTTTTAATTTTTGAGAGTTTCCTCTTTCGTTTTAATGGTGATCTACTCTAAGGATTTACCATAATTCATTTAGCCAGTCTCATATTGACAGATTACTTTTATATTTGGCAAGAACAAGAAAGTAATTTTGGAGAATAAACTAAAATGTTCTCAAATTCCACTCCCCCTCCCAAAAAAGGTATCACCATTGTTTTAAAGTCACAAACTCTTTTTGACAACAACTATTGGAATATTGCTGCTTTTTGCATCTAAAGGCCTTATGACCAGATTAGAGAGACACAGCAACAATTTTATTGAAGCAATTTTATAAGCAAATACATTTTCATTTCCCTTTTCATTCTCTATTCTTTTAAGTTTCTAGGTATATGTAAAATAATCAACCCAATATTTATGTCACCATATTTTAAATTACAGTAGCAATGTAGTAAATGTGCATGTTCCATGGACAGAATGGGAATTGAACTCATCATCATCAACCATCATCAATCACAAATACTTATTTTTTAATACCCTGTCTTCAGGATTTATGTTAGGCCCTACAGTTCTCTTTATATGATGCCTTTAAAATCAGGTTTAAGATAAATTTCATCTCTTAGTCTCCCAATTAAACAATGTATTCTTCAAATATTTTTCTTTTGAATTCAGTGATACTTAACTCTCTTTGTTCTGCATCTATCTTTTAATCTCAGGCTCTTCCTACCCTTAAGTGTTCTTTTCTTTTTTTTCCTTTTCCAAGGACCTCTCTTCTGTGTGATCACTCAGTAAGCCCAGTCACTCTCCTAGTTTACCCATCATCTCTACATTGGGGATTTCCAAATTTATGGCTCTCTCCTAACTTTGAAGCCTGTATTTCTAACTGCCTACTAGATAGTTCCACTTAGTACCCCACTAATACCTTAAATTTAACATGTCTAAAATAAAAAATTATCTTACCATGTAAACCTGCTCCTCTCTGACTACATCTATTCATATAGTACAACAAAAATTTATTGAGTCATGGTTCATACACAAGTCATGGTGCTAAGCTTAGATTCTACGTAAAAGATTCTTAGTCTAGAATAGCCAGCAAGACTTGTATCTTTGTTCATACCTCTATTATAGCACAAAAATTTTATTTTAACTAGCAATGACAGACTAATCAAGATAAATAAAAGGTAGCAGTGGAAAATAAGATTAGAGTGGATGATTGAGGTCAGAATATAGACCTCCAATTGTAGGCTAATTATATCAACTTTATCAACTTAATTCTGTACAAAATGGGAAACTAGGCCGTTTTTGAGCAGGAGAGTCTCTACATTCCATTTTCAGATGATGAGTCTGGCTAGGATATGTAAAATGGATTTAACTGGGGAACTATTAGAGCATGGGAAAAGGTTACTATAAATCTATGAAACAGGATTTGAACCTGAACACACACAGTGAGAGATTCAAACCCAAGGCTTTGACCAGCCTATAGAGTTTTGTCTCAGAATATACTTCTGTGTTTATCCGGTTTCAGTTTCACAGACACTAACCAGTCCTGAATGCCCCACCCTGCTTCCACAGTTTTTTAGGATCTAGCTCAAAAACTTTCAGGGAACAATTTCCCCATTTCCCTCAGCTAAAATGAACTGCTTCCATAGCATTTTTTCTGTAACTTCCTGGTGCCATTTAGTCATTCCTCCCCCACCAAGCTATAAAATCCTCGAGGTAAGGGATTATACATTATTTATTCTGGTTTTCTTCAAATTTAGCACACTGCCTGACACATACTAAGCTCCCTATATAAATGTTGAGTTATATTGGCACAGTGGAAAATGCACAGGTTTTTGGAGTTAGACAGACTTAAGGACTAAATTGCAGATTAGCCATTCACTCATTAGCTATATGATCATGAGCAAGCATTTAACTTTTCTTAAGCTTCATCATGTATAAAATAAAAATCCTTGCAAATTGTTGTGAAGCTTTGAGAAGCATCTAGCAATGTACATGGTGCATAGTGGATATTCAATAAATAGTAGTTATAACTATGGGTCCAGGAGTTTTTTGGTTTTTGTTTTTTTTAGTCTCAGCTAAAATAGTAGCAAGTTTTTTGTACAGATCATATTCATCAGAGTTTTTATGTCTTCTTTAGGTTAACTATGTTCAGTTATGACTGCTCTTGGTTGAAGGAAAATTAATGTACACACTCAACAAACAATTATGAATGCCTACTACATGCTAAAGCATTGGGTATATAAAAATGAAGAAGGCATGGTCAGGAAAGTATTTCAAAGTGCTATTAGGAACAAGGCCTCCTCTCCTTGTCTTTACTATCCAATAAAGAAGGCTATTGCTGAGTTTCTAGGACTTATATGAGGTACCACTCTGTTACATTATATAATTTCATACTTCATTAATTCAAAAAACTTACATTTTTTGAACATAAGGTCTGTGGCACATTGTTGATACAGAAACAAAAAATTAAGACAGACAGTTGTTGGAGTGCCTGGGTGGCTCAGTCGGTTAAGCTGTTAAGCATCTGACTCTTGATTTCAGCTCAGGTCATGATCTTAGGGTTGTGAGATCAAGCACCGCATGGGGCTCCACACTGGAGCCTACTTAAGATTCTCTCTCGAGGCGCCTGGGTGGCTCAGTCGTTGAGTGTCTGCCTTCGGATCAGGTCATGATCCCGGGGTCCTGTGATGGAGCCCCACATCGGGCTCTCTGCTCACGGGAAGCCTACTTCTCCCTCTCCCACTCCCCCTGCTTGTGTTCCCCGTCTCACTGTCTCTCTCTCTGTCAAATAAAGAAACTCTTAAAAAAAAAAAAAATTCTCTCTCTCCCTCTGCCCCACACCCCTGCCCCCCAAAACGGAACAGTTGCACTGAGTACCTTCTCCTTGTTTTACAAAACAAGGAGGAAGAGTTTACTGAGTTTCTGTGCCATATATGAATTTCTATAGCACTATAATTCCATCCTTACCTATACAGACTTCTGTAATGAAACTGCGTAAAACCTGATAAAATGATCCAGTCTTTTTTATTTCCTATGTTACTTTTTGGCTTGTGGTCTTGATTTATGATAACTTGAAGATTTAGTCATCCAGGTGCCAACAATCTGGTAAAGAAATAAAAGGCAGGTTGCAAGCTCATTAAACTCTTCTGGACCTTCACCAACTTAAGTTAGAGCTATTTAGTAACTACTAACCTTATTGATAGTCCTTTTTTATTTCTGAATTCTTTTAGCAGTTCAAAATTACCCATTCAGCCACCTCATTTATTTATTTATTTATAAAGCTAAGTTCTAAATTGTATATATTTATAGTCTGTCAAACCCTTTGGATGTGAACTGTAGTTCATCCTAGAAAATTCTGTAACTTAACTGTAATTTCATTGTAATTATATTTATAGAATCTTTGTAGAATCACAGTTAATATGCAAAATATTTTAATTCATAGTGAACAGCAAGTAACCACTTCCCCAAAATACTTCTCCTCATAGGTTTACTCTTCTCCTCTTGCACTTGTTTTATTCTTACCACAAAACTAATTGATTAAGGTGCCCTTGGTTATAAAATATGACCCTATCTGAGATTTTTTTCATATAATCCTAATTAACATTGTCATTCCTTTGCTTCCAAAATAAAGGAGAATTTGGATATATGACTGCATGAATTAAAGAACTATCTTCCATTAGTCACAGTTCTGTAAATGGTACAAAGATCATCTGAAATCTAGTACAGTAATATTATTTCTACAGAGGCAGGGAAAGCTACAATAATTGCTAAATTCAAAGCTGCTAGTTAAGCAGTTTCACAGGCTGCTCTCATCACCAAAATGCACACTAGATCTGTATTGTCATACCATTTACTGATTTTTGCTTAAAAAAAAATAAATTTTTGATCAAGGTCAGAAAGCTTCAGAATAAATAAAGACGAGGATCCCGGCAGGACGTTAAGGCCGAAGGCACACAGGTTTAGGCCAGGTTAAAAAAATCAGACACCTTAATACTGCATGAATGTATCTCCAATATCTGAATAAAACCTTTAGATACAGCACTTTCTGGGTAGACAAGTGGCTGCTGGGGGTGGGGTGGGGGGAATGGGGAAGGACTACTCAAGGGGGACTGGCCTTTTTGGGGTGATGAAAATGTCTTGGAACTAGATAGAGCCGATGGTTGCACACACTGTGAATGTACCAAATGCCACTTAATTGTACACCTTAAAGTGGTTAATTTTACATTATGTGGATTTCACATCAATTCAACAAAAACAAACTTTTTAAAGGAAAATTGAAAGATACAGGATCTCCTGGCAGAAAGGGACTTTACCTCGTGAAGGCCCCAAAAGTACAATACCAGCAGGGAGGTCGGTTAGGGTCACTCCCACTTCACAAAAAGCTGTGTGGACAGTTTACAGAATTCCCTCAGGCGGACCCTAGTTTCAGTAATAGCCAATTAACCGGCACCATCTTGAACTCATTTCGGTGAGAATGAGAAAGCGGCAAAATATTCATCAGAATCTTCTAAAAAGCCGCATCGCCGGTCATCTAGAAATCCCTTAGGAGCAACAGAGAACACGAGGGTGGAAACAGTAGAAGCCATATTTTTTTAAAAGGTTTTTGTCGCGGGGGACGGTACCAGTAAGGATTCAATCATCTTCAAACATTATATTTAAACCTAGGTGCTTAACTATGACAGATGCTTCTGTCAGTCGCGCAGCATCTCACAGCGAAACGCTTCTTTCTGTGGCGACGAAGCCTCGAAGCCGCTTTCTGTGGCGACGAAGCTTTGAACAAACGCCCACCGCCATACCCATCCGCGGGAAAGCTCCCTCCACCAGCCGAAGAAGGCGGAACTTCAGAGGGCACTCCCGCCACACAGCGCGATCGGCGCCGCTGAGCTTCCTGGGAATTGTAGTTTTAGTTTCCCCATCCATCCCTATTGTTCAGATCGGTATGGAGTGAGCCAGAAAACTACAACTGCCAGAGTGCTCCGCAAGGGCGAGTAGCCGCGGCGGTGACGACTGTGGCGGAGAAGGCCTGGAGGGGCTCTGCGTTCTGGAGTGGCGCTGCTTGGGCGGGTGGCAGGTTGCAGGCTGCTGGCGCCGCTGCTGAGGAGAACGGAGAGTGGGTTCGGCGTTTCCCGTCGGGGTCCCAGCAACGATGAGTGCTGCCAGGGAGTCCCATCCGCACGGGGTGAAGCGTTCAGCCTCCCCAGACGACGATGTAAATAACAATGGCGGAGTGGATGAGGGTTGCGGCCTACTAAAGGCTGGGGTAGGCCGGGAAGGGTGGTTTAGGAAGGAGGAAGCGCCCGAGGTGGCCCGAAGAGGGAGGGCCGAGGTGCGGGAACCAGACGAATGACTGGGAAGTGTCTCCTTTCTTGACTTAGGGTCTGAAGGTTTGAAGAGGTTTACATCCTAAGAGCCAGAGATCTGCGTAGGAAGGGGGTCGGAGGAAGGAAGTACTGAGAGGGTCGGGAAGCGTATTTCGGGGCTGATGAAGCTTCATTGTCGGGCCTTTCTACGTAGCATAGGGATGTCAAGAGCCTTCCTGTTGGAGGTTTAAAATGCTCCTGTGACAATGTCAAGATGTTGGTGCACGTTTGGACAGATTTTTCCGGCCGGAATTATTTTCACCGTGTACTATTAAGGGTAAACCGAGAACAGTATGGAACCGAAAATTGTACCAGGGGAGGCATTTCGTACTGACGCGTGGTGATGAGGTCTAAGATGTTGAGACCTAGAAGCCCATTTTGATTTCAGCTACCTTCCTTCTCTTTCCCCCACCCCAAGCTTGTCAGCTTAAATAGCAAACCATTCATTCCTTAAAGTAACCCATTAAATATTTACTGCTATGCTAGGTGTTAGGAATTCAAAGATGAGTAAGTACGGTACTTATCTTAGGTCTTTTTGTATATTTGTCCTAGCTCTTAGCGCAGTGTCATGGAGACTGCAGTAAACGGAAAACTAGGTCCTTCATACAATGGATAAACGCCACGGAAACGTTGATTGAGAAATTTTGGGGACGGGTAGGTGGGGGCGTGGAGAGGTCATCTTTAAGGATGATAAAAGAACATCTAATTTTTTTTCAGTTATTGTTTAAAGCACTATTAATTTCTGAATATGTAGAGTTCTTTATAGTGCAGTTCAGTGCCTTTCATAATACCTTACTTTGTGAACCGTTAAAAGCTCACTAAAGACTGCTAGTGCATAAGTTGTATAAGACCCACCCCTCTTTGGATGGGTGGTGGGGTTAGGAAAGGAATACCAAGATTCTTAAATTGAATTTAACTCTGCAGAAAGAATAGTAATCAGGAAGGATTTGGGAATGAATAATTATATAGTGAGATTTTTGGTGCCCTCTGTTCTTCCCTGCTACTGGCTCTTAGATCTTTCCTTGTTAATATGGTAATCCAGTACTTGTTAGGCATTTATCTAAGGCATGTGAGTAACCTGGGTGCCATTTTAAAAGCTATTACATTGTTTTCCTCCTGGTAGTTAACTGTGACTTGATTCGTAGAATGTCAGACATCTGTTTTGCTGGACTTAGAAATATCTTTTAGCTTGACGGAAAACTCTTGATGTTAGGTAATTTAACAGTTAAAGGGATTAAGTAATTAACTCTACAGCTTCTTTTGGGATCAGTTTAAGATGACCTTTAAGACCTTTTCCAATCTTATAAGCATTCTCTTTTGAAGGAGATGGTTATAGTTGCAATTCAAGATCAGGTCCTGCAACTTTAACATACTATCTAAAAATGATTATGTTGCTAATTTAAAGTGCAATAGAGTAACTGGTCTTTTGATAGTGATTTTTTTTTAAATCAGTTAAATGTGACTATTACTTTTACTGGTAATTGGGAGTTATCTTTACTTGTTTTAAAAATATTTTTAAATACTACATACAAAATTTAAAAATGTTTTTGAAATATACATCTAAATTGTAGAAAATCAATTAATTATAATTGAAGTTGTAATTGGTCATCAATTTCTAATGAACATACACTGCATGTAAAGGATAATCGGTTTTTTTGCCTACTGATCTCACATATTAAATGGGGATAAGAAAGCATTTTGAAAGATGTTAGAAGTAGGGGACACCTGGGTGGCTCAATCGGTTAAGCGTCTGCCTTCAGCTCAGGTCATGATCCCAGGGTCCTGGGGTGGAGCCCCACGTCAGGCTTCCCTGCTTATAGGGAGTCTGCTTCTCCCTCTCCCTCTGCTCCTCCCCCCACTTGTGCACTCTCTCTCTCTCTCTCTCAAATAAATAAATAAATTCTTTTAAAAAGAAAGATGTTAAAAGTAGATATTAAACATGGAATCCAGCTTTAAGAAAATGCTGACGGTGTTAGAAGTAAATTCTAAGAGTTACTAGGGTATGTATTTAGGAGGAGGTAAATTGACTACAATTCTATAGTAAAAGGTATTAAGGGTAACTTAAAAATGGTCTCATTGGTTTCATTGGAGTGGAGAAATGAAAGCTATTTTTTAGAGAGTAGGAGGTGAGAAGTTAATTTTAGTAACTGGTGGAGACCCTCTAAGAATTTATCAGGCACCCATGTGCTTTTGAGAATGCAGCACTTGGGCTGTTGTATGCTAAGGTCTTTGAAAGAAGAACCAGAAGGACTTCATGACTGGAAAAAATACTAGGATTAGATATTGTAAATGATAGGATTATTTATGTAAAGACATTGGAAGATATTTGCTCTTTTAATAGAAATAGAGAGTTTGGGAAAGTTGACTTTTAGACGTTTTGTTTTTAACTTGATTCCATAACTTTTATAACTGTAATTCATAAACCACTTTCACATATTCTGTCTCATTTGGTCATGTACAGTATGATGTGGTAAGAGCAGAGAACTTAAGGCAAGAGGATCAGAGTAAGTCACTTAAACTTTTAAGTGACTTTGTCTCAGTGTTCTTATTTATTAACTGGACTCTTGAGAGAACATATATGAGCAGTCATTTGTAAGTTGTAAAACACTGCAATTCTTAGGTGGTGTTATTTTTAAGATAGTCTTTTAAAGAAGCTACTCTGTGTAGATTAGGAATGAAAACTAAGAATTTAAATGCCCTGTTCAGGCTCAGAGAGCAAGTGATTTAGTGAGAATCAGAACTTGACCTTCACTAGTACTTTATTTTTTTTATTTCTTAACTATGTTCAGCCAGAAATAGTTAAGTACTAACTGGCGTATTAAAAAAAAAAAACAACAAAACAAAAACAAAAAAATAGATACTGAGTTGTCAGATGGAAAGAAGTGGAGATTTGGAAGTTAGGTAGCTAAAATCATGAAAGCATATAAGCTTCCCACCAAAAAGAATTTAGAAGAACCACAAGTAAGTGTCCATTGTTGTACAGCTACTTAATTTTTTAAATTTATTTTTATTTAAATTCAGTTTATTTTTTCCTCCCTTCCCCTATGATCCTCTGTTTTGTTTCTTAAATTCCACATATAAGTGAAATCATATGATAATTCTTTTTAATTCTTTCTCTGATTGACTTATTTCACTTAGCATAATACTCTCTGGTTCCATCCACGTCGTTGCAAATGGGAAGATTTTTTTTTTGATGGCTAATATTCCAGGTACAAATACTTTTAACACTCATATCCCTAGAGAAATGGTCACCATTGTTTTTTGTATTTTCTAAGTCTTCTACAGATAATTTCCAAAAGAATAAAAATAGTGAAAAACAATTTTATTGAAAATTTTAATGTGAATCTAATCATAGCAAACCCAAATTTCTGTTACATGGCTTCCTGATTTTCATGACATACATACCCAAAATGGTTAGCATTCTCTGAATACAGTTAACTGCTTGTCAGTTGTGTGTAAAACTGGAACATATAATTCCAGATTACAGATAATTTCTAATAGATTTTAGCTTTATCATTATTTGTAGTTCTAGCATTTGCATCATCAAAATATAATATGAAGAATTTAAACCTTAGTGCTTATAATTTTGTGTTGAAATGGGGTTTTCATCTTTGCTCCATAATTGCAAAACATTTTCATTTTTAGATTATAAACTGAATTAGAATGATCAATCCAATGAATGTTTTCTTTCTACATTCCTTCCAGTCACCTTTGTATACACATCTGCCTTTAGCACTTGTCCAGTTTCAAATCCTATCAAGTAAATATTGGTGTACAAATATAAAAGATGAAGCAGTCACACATTTTTTTTAGAAAAACAGGATGGTCCAGGCTCTTACAAGATGAAGTCTCCCTGTTGAATGACTTTCTAGATGAGCGTGCCATATTTTTTCTTGACTTTTTTTTTTCTTTGTCTCCTTGATCCCTGGGTTGGAGAAAAGTCATAGTGTTTCAACATCCAAAAATTCAGTCTAAGATTTTTGCGTATACAATTAATTTTGCCATTATTATTAGTTTAGGGTACACTACCTATCATTTTGCATTCACCTTATTCATCTAATAATTGTTAAATGACTTTTGCCAGTTTCTGGTTTTTACCCAGTTACCATTATGGGTAGAAATGAAAAATTCTGGACTCTTAATTGTGTCCATGAAAGCTAGAAGCATACAATGGAGGAGTGACGTCTTCTTGAAAGATGATGCACTACCTTGGACAGTAGGTTGAGAAAACTCATCTACCATTTTTCTGTTTCCTTATTTTAGTCATTTTTAGCATAGTTGGCAATAACTAATAAATCATAATGAAATATTTCCTACATTTGTTTCAAGATGTAGGGAAAAATATCACTAGGACTCCATAATATTTCTTAGATTTGTAAAAGGGCTCAATTGATAATTACAAGGTAGAATGAGTTTTACTCTTAAAATAAGTTTTCTCCTCTTTCTGTTTTCTCTTCAGAAGACCTTCAAGAAAGAATAAAAGTCTTAACATATCAATCCTTAAAAATAACTAGAACTGCACAAAAAAGAAACTGAAAACCTAAAGTTTGGTCCATTTTGTGTTCCATGGTCCTTTATCACTAAAGCCAGACTAACTTTTAAGTAACAACTGTGGCAGCCTCTGGAATCCTAGGTACTCTCGGGCCTTGAAAGGCTCTAGGATAGTAGGTCTCAAAAGTGTAGTCCTCACATCAACATCAACAGCATCATCATCACTTAGGAATTTGTTAGAAATGAAACCCTTGAACCCACCCCAGACTTACTGGATCTGAAACTCTTGGGGTGTAGCCTAGCAGTTTGGGTTTTAACACACCCTCCAGGTGATTCTGATAAGTGCAAACTTTAGAATCAAAGCTCTGGCTGCAGAAGAAATAAAGGATTCTGCCTTGAGGTAACAGAAAAGGAGTATAATTGAGTATAATATATATGCTTAACTACCTAAACAAAATCAGTGAGCCCTGTTTATGGTTAAAAATGACAGGGGGGGGGGGGAGCGCCTGGGTGGCTCAGTTGGTTAAGCGACTGCCTTCGGCTCAGGTCATGATCCTGGAGTCCCGGGATCGAGTCCCGCATCGGGCTCCCTGCTCAGCGGGGAGTCTGCTTCTCCCTCTGACCCTCCCCCCTCTCATGTGCTTGCTCTCTCTCATTCTCTCTCTCTCAAATAAATAAATAAAATCTTTAAAAAAAAAAAAATGACGGAGGGGGGCGCCTGGGTGGCTCAGTTGGTTAAGTGACTGCCTTCGGCTCAGGTCATGATCCTGGAGTCCCGGGATCGAGTCCCGCATCGGGCTCCCTGCTCAGCGGGGAGTCTGCTTCTCCCTCTGACCCTCCCCCCTCTCATGTGCTTGCTCTCTCTCATTCTCTCTCTCTCAAATAAATAAATAAAATCTTTAAAAAAAAAAAATGACGGAGGGGGGCGCCTGGGTGGCTCAGTTGGTTAAGCGACTGCCTTCGGCTCAGGTCATGATCCTGGAGTCCCGGGATCGAGTCCCGCATCGCGCTCCCTGCTCAGCGGGGAGTCTGCTTCTCCCTCTGACCCTCCCCCCTCGTGCTCTCTCTTTCTCATTCTCTCTCTCAAATAAATAAATAAAATCTTAAAAAAAAAAATGACGGAGGAAAAAAACCTTGGGAGTTATGGGTAGATTTTAAATTTTTAAATATTTATTATGCAAAAAAACCTAACTGGCCAATTTCTTTTGCAGCTTGGATCTAGCAATTGGGAAGCAGCAGACTTAGGTAATGAAGAAAGAAAACAAAAGTTCCTGAGACTTATGGGTGCAGGAAAGGTAAGCATCAAACAGCATGTGTTTTTTTAAGTCTTTTCTGTGAAAATAATATCCTTATTTTGTCTGTTGAGTGAGCCAGACTGAATATACTGGATCCCATTTTCCTGTTCTGCTTGAGAAATACAGCTGACCTAACCAAGCACATAAAATTTATATTATTTCTGAACCACTTCTGGGATTCTTAGTGCCACTGGGCAGTAAGGTTTAGAGACCGAATAGAGAGAAACCTTGGCTTGAGGAGACTCCTAGGGAAGAAAGTTTATGATTTGCTATCTGTTACCTTAATGATTTAATAGAAGTTCTTTTCTGGGCAGACCAAATTGGTAGGCCTTTCATATTTTATAGCTCCCTCTAGCCCTTGAAGTAGTAGCCAAGCCTTTATCAAAAACTTAATTTTTAAAATATTCAGTATATTTTGAAATCCTTTTCAGTTTAATTAACGTAGTAGAAGATAGAAAATACAGGTGCCAGGAAAACTTCACCTATTGGGGAAAAACCCTTCTTGTTCCTAGCAATAATTTTTACATGCAAATACAGTTATCTCTAGATACTTATTTTGTGTAGGCAAGTCAATTTATTTTCCTAACATTGTCCCCAAAATTTATTTATTTATTTATTTATTAAAGATGTTATTTATTTATTTAATTGACAGAGAAAGAGAGACAACGTGACAGGGAACACAAGCAGGGGGAGTGGGAGAGGGAGAAGCAGGCTCCCTGCCGAGCAGGGAGCCCAACGTGGGGCTTGATCCCAGGACCCTGGGATCGTGAGCTGAAGGCAGTCACTTAACCAATTGAGCCACCCAGGCGCCCCTGTCCCAAAAATTTACAAACAAAATGTAGATAAAAAAGAAAACTTTTTTTCTCTTTTAAGCTCCTCAAAATTAAATTCTGCCCTTTGTTTTTGTTATTCATATGGGGATTCATTCATTCGTTTTACCAACAATTATTGACTGTCTGCAAGATGCCAGGGACCATGCTAGGTCCTGGGGGTCACATAGATCTTTAACACATGTTTGGAGCCATCATGTAATAGAGGAAAACAGATAATTTAGAATTATAATTGCTATGAAAGAACTGTGCATATAGTGCTGTGGAATCAACAGACAAGGGTAGCTAACTCTGCCTTAGTGGTACAGGAAAGCGTCCCTGAAGCAAAGAGGACTTAGCCAGACTAGAACAATGGGGTTCAGGGTAGGGAGAGATCGTGCAACATAGTAAGACCTGTATAAGGATGCATTTATATAATATCTTTTTAATCCAGATTTCCCAATAATTTTGTGATTTATCATAGAAAGTAGTCTGAAGTTTATCTTGATTCTTGCAAATAAAATATTTGCTAAGAATATATGAAGTAAATAATAATTTAGGGGACATGCTCAACCTAGTAGAATGAAAACTCTTTGAGTACTTAGGAAGAATACCCTAACATAAAGTATATGAAATTTGGCTACCAGTTTTATATACCAGATACATAGTCAAATGTATCTCATTAAAATTGCGGGGAAGAAAGAACAGATGGAACAGTTTTTTAAAAATTGACTACAAATATATGAGCTGTTTAGCATACGTTAAATTCCTTCCTAGCAAGGCCAAGATTATAGCTTTGATCTTACATATAGGCTGTTTAGATTTATTCTGTTTTGTGACAGCGAAGTATATTCCTAACCCTAGCCAGCTACCGTGAGTATTTTACTGGTCACAGGGAGGACCAGCTAGGAGAAGTTATGAATAGACTAGTGCGCTACTGTCATCATTCTCAGATAACTTAATGTATTAGACATTTTCAAATCTTGATAATGTAGTGTCTTCTGCAGTCTAATGAAGCAGCATATTGAGTCATTGATTTGCTTCTGTAATAATGGCATGTAAGGCAGTTAAGTATTAATGCTTGAAGCCTTTCAGTAATGTCTTGTAATATGGAAAATGTGTCTGTCATCCTTTCACAATAGGAAGATTTGTTATGTCCTATATCTTCACAGGTGATTGGTTAAGATTACTTTGCAAAGTCACATTTAATCTCTCCTTCACTGTGTTTTAGTGAAGAATTTCTTTACCTTATGAAACTAAATATGAACCATAAGGAGTGGATTGTAACTGATAATTGAGAGTAATTATGTAGCCTGATCAATTAGTAACATTGAAGCAGGATTTATTTGTATGTTTTAGAGTAGAATTAGATTGCTTTAAATTCTGTTCTTTTTGACAGTTTAAGATTGGGTATTTATTGTAGTCAATAATGAGCTGGCTATTTGTTAAACATCTGTCACTGTTCATTATAAGTCTGTTCATTTTTATCTAGCTAAATAATTTCATTTGCTTTCTTTCTATGAAGTGTGCCTGAGGCATCAAAAAGAGGAGGTGGGAAAGTTAAAGCAACTCATTTAATTAGCCTTTTAGGAAAGAAAATGTTTGTATCGATGCAGTTTTTTAGTTATCCCCTTTAAAATTCCAGGCTGACCTCTGCATACTCTCCCCTCCCTTTCTCTGCTCTGTGTATTTGTTTTAATGGCACTTACAACTTTCTACCATACTATAATATACTTACTGATTTCATTTCCCCTCCTCATCTCTACCTTTGCTAGAATGTAAGTTCTATAAAGACAAGGATCTCAATTTAGTTCTTTTTCTTCACTGTATCCCAGAAGCCTGGAATAATGTTGGGCACATAGTAGACACTCAGTAATTACTTTAAGTTAATGGTCTCAAATTCTAATATATTTTCTACTTTCTTACAGAAAGAACACACTGGTCGTCTTGTTATAGGAGACCACAAATCAACATCTCACTTCCGAACAGGTAAAAAAGTAAAATATTTAAGAGGTGGTGCTAGATTTGGAATATGAAATACTCGTATGTATTTCAGGATATTCTCTGTATAATTGTGTTAATGATTAAAATATTAGATATGGAAATGTATATGTAAACGTGTATATGTAACAATCAGCATATACTTTAATTTTTTAAAGATTTGAGAGTGTATATCAATGATACTCTATAACCAAGGAACTGACCTTTTTCTGTCTTCGTTTTTACTGATTCCTAACATATTTATTGTAGTGAGGTTTTATGTCTCATCTTGCCAGCTGTTACGTAGTATGTGTTTATGAATTTTTTACATAATAAATTATTTAACATACAGTGTTATTGTTGGTATATTAAACTGGTTTTGAATTTATTCACTAAGTTTTGTTTTGAAATCCTTAATAAAGAATATAAACTTGTTGCAAAGCCTGAAGAAATGAACTTAATTTTAGAGGAAAAACTTTTAAAATAAAAACTAAAAACGAAGAGTTTGGATTTGAATTCAGGCTGCTGAAAAATGAAATTTTCTCCTATATAAAATTGACACTAATCTTGGACATTATTAATAACAGGGCATAATGACCTGGATCATATTTAACAATGAATTAAATTGTTTAAATTAACCTTATACTGACCTAGAATATGTAGCACATTTCAGAAATTAACAGGTCTTTTATTTTTCCAAATAATTATTTCAAATTGATTTGCATTGTTAGAAAAAGAATTTCTGAGGCAAAAAGAATACTGAGCTTTGTGGAATGGAAAAATATTTACTGCATTTATTCTTTTAAAACTGTGGACTTTATGAATAAAAATAATGCAAGCACCACCATTTGTGATTAAAATGAAATTCCTCTTATTTCTTATATTTACAAATTAAAATGGCATACTCAGCTTTTTCTTTTTTTTTTTTTTTTAAAGATTTATGTATTAGTGTGGGAGCACTTGCAGGCAGGGGAAGGGCGAGGGGGAGAGAGAGCATCTCAAGCAAACTTCCCGCTGAGCGGGGCACCCAACTCAGGGCTTGATCTCAGGACCCTGAGATCATGACCTGAGCTGAAATCAAGAGTCGATGCTCACCTGAGTGAGCCACCCAGGCAACCCCTCAGAAAGCTTTGATGGTATTAGTAATGTTCTAGTTCTAAATAAGTTTATGTTGTTTCATTAAACTAGTATCGTAAGAAAGGCATGAAGTAGAACCATTATTTATTTAGCCATTCTCTGAACAAAATTGCCTGCCTTTTCATTATATATCTGTTAAAAGACAGAAACTTGTTTGTTGCTGGTGTTTTAAATGTGAGAGAAAACTCACTTTCAGGGGAACAGTTACTTATTAGACTATAAATAAGCTAAAATATTTAAGGCCCAAAGTTCTTAGTAATTAATATTTATAATATCTGAACTTCAGGCAGTTCTGAGACTTGTCTAGTTTTAACTTATCACATAGAAAAATAGAAGTTCTTCATCTTTTATAAACACTTGTAGTTCAGAGGGTGGTTACTAGAGAAGTAATCATAAATACATCCTTCAATTTTTTAATATCTGTTAGGTAACCACCTCCTGCATAGAGGAAACCCATCCACAAAATGCGTTATAAAATTAGTCACAGAGAAATCAGCCCTGAATATAATAGCATTTGTAATATGGGTTTTTTTGTGTAATCAAATGTTTTTATTAATTTGACTGAAACATAACCAAAGTACACTGGACATGCAGGGGAAGAAGACAAGAAAATTAATGAAGAACTGGAGTCTCAATATCAGCAAAGTATGGACAGTAAATTATCAGGAAGATATCGACGACATTGTGGACTTGGCTTCAGTGAGGTAGTAATTAACATTTTCATTAAATGGGAAGATAATTTCTAAATTGATATCCTTTATTTCTGTTAGATTAGCAATCAAGAATCCTATGTAGAAAGCTTTCTTTTTACAGTTACTTAATTTTCTATATGCCCAATAGGTCTTTGTAGATCATGAGAAAAGATATTTTTGAGTTTTACAAATGTTTTCTGATAGAAGCTTAATGTAAATTCTCAGATAATCATTATGGCACATCTTTAATAAGCATGAGCAACATACACGTTAAAGGAAATATTTCATGTAAATACTAGTTTAGGATCTTCCTCAGTTTTCCCAGTGACCTCTTTTCATATTATAAGTGCTGGTTAACTACTCCAAAGTAATATGACATGTAAAACATTGATAACTTTTCCATATTTCCATGGGTCAATAGTTAATTTGCCTTATTTACTTAAAAAAAGAAAACCTATTTCTTTCAGGAAGATATGGTAGTTTTCCAACAAGGGGGAGGGGAGTCAAGTGAGTGGTCTTCAGAGCTGTTTCTTAAAACAAATTATTACTTAAGTCCTAATGGGTAAAATACATGGGGATTCCGGAGTCCTCGGGTCTTCCTTTGGCAGCCTCTGATCATAATACAGTCTTAAAACTTGATGTTAATGGCTCAGGGAGTGGTTTTTTTGAGACTGTAACAAAAATTAGTGTCTTTCCCAGTTTTTGTACTGGGTAATTGTATTTAAGAAGAGCCTGTTGGTTGATGTTTGTAGGTAGAAGATCATGATGGAGAAGGTGATGTGGCTGGAGATGATGATGATGATGATGATTCACCTGATCCTGAAAGTCCAGATGACTCTGAAAGTGATTCAGAGTCAGAGAAAGAAGAGTCTGCTGAAGAACTCCAAGCTACTGAGCACCCTGATGAAGTGGAGGATCCCAAAAACAAAAAAGATGCAAAAAGCAACTATAAAATGATGTTTGTTAAATCCAGTGGTTCATAACTCCCAAACACTTAGTCTTTGTATTAAAAGTAAGCCTTATTGTTATAATGCACAGTGGAGGACTGCTTATAGAGCACAGACCTTTGTATTATAATTTTTAAAAAGGCCCTTTTAAATAATTACAAAGAGTGTTTGCTTTCAGATGCCATGGATTACACTTTTATGGGCATGACTATAACCATTTTTGTAAAGAGTAAGAGTTGTATAAAATAAGAAATAAATACAATACTCAATTTCCTTTCATAGTAGCATCATCAAACTCTAATCTCACCTTTTTTACCCCTTCAGATAGTTATGGAGGAGACACTTTTTGTGGTAGCTGTTTCATCTTTTTTGTTCCTTTAATATTTTTCTCTTATAAGAAGTTTAATCTGATACTGTGATGTGTTCATGAAAAATATTCAGTTATACTTTGTTGTAGTAGAACTATTCATCATGGATATTTCTGCTGCCAGTAACTATCTAAATTGTTTGCAAAAGATTAGGTACTTAGTGTACTCTTACTGATTCAGCTCTACTCTTTTGGACCAAAGCAACATGAGAGCAAATACTTTCACACCTGTTAGGATGGAGTTGCAACTGTCATACATTTGGAATGTTATGATCCCAAGCAGTCTTTATATAATTTGAATTACATTGTATGTTTGATTTTTGATAAAATTTGGCCAATTTTTACAGAAGAAATTATTTCTCTGATCATTTGGTCCTATCTAGGAATATGTAAAACTGGAATTTTTTTTTTAAGGTAATATGTGACCAAAGTTAATTTTCTTCCTAAGGCCTAAATAAAGAAAAAGCAGTTTCCCATATTTGGTTTGTGATACCTTTATCCTCATTATCTAAAATGAGGAATAGCCTTATTGAAAAAGAAGCTGAAACAAACGCTCTTCATTTTATCCCAATGCTGTTATCTTGATTATTGAATTACTGAAAAGTAGTATTCCTTTCTGATTTTATTGCTGCTTCTGTGGGAGTGAGATTAGAATCCTCTGACTGGTGTTATGTGGTTGATACGTACAGCACATTAACAAACTGCATCATGGGCTGGTCCATGATCTTTGAATATTTGGGTCCAAAAAGTTTCTAAGTAACATGTTCAAAGGCTTGAGTCAAACCAGTTTGTTTGCTGAATTTTTATATTCTAGATACTTAAGTATGTGTTTGATGTGTTGAACTTAAAAAACAAATTCCTATGTCACTTTGAAATTCAAAATGTTAGGAGTGTAGCAACTAGAACAGGTGATAATCTGGTTTATGCAATCCATTCATAGATTAGACCCCCCCAACGTTTGGGGTTTGATTTTTCTTATTTCTTATATTGTTTTATAATAGGTGCTACCCTACATAGTAAAATATCGAGTCAGTGGGTAGTAGACAGGATATACGACCTTTAATAGGTACTTGGTTTGAGTATGTTTGGCTTTATTCAAATTTCAATTGGCCACAGATTTTTAAATATCTAGTTTCTAGGGTTGCTTATTACAACTAAATTAAATAGTAAACGAAGGCTGATTTATGTTTAAGAATGGAAGTGGGAGAGATGAGTATTACATTTTAAAAAGTATTTTCATTAGTTTATTGTTGAAACATGCTAGGTTGTTGATAAGTGTTGGTTCTTAATATGTAAGTAGAAGAGCCTTCTAAAATAACTACACCGGCAGACCTTTTTCTTCATGTCCAAATAGAGAAATTCTTATTCCAACTAATTCATATATTATTGGACCATTTACATAATTCAGGGTTGGAATAAATTTAGGTCTGTTGGTTCATGTGGCCTAGTGTCCCAGCACCACATTAAACATCAAGGCTATCTTTTAAGCATGAATATCAGGGTTGTGTTTTTTTTCTTATCAAATTTAGGGAAAAAACAGGAAGACAAATGCTTTGCCATCTTGATATCCCTATTAAAGAATCAGGTGGGAAAATACAAATTATTTTTGTGCAGTGAAAGACTATTCAGTCAAAAGTTTAATGGCAAATTTGCCTTATCACTGATAATTTCTTACGTGAAAGGCACTTCTCCCAAGTGTTTACCTATGCCAATGACTTAACAGTCTTTTTATTGAAAAGTTTTTTAGGAACACAATTTCCAGTTTTTTGTGTAATAGGTAAAAGTCCTCAAGTCTGTAATTTTTTTAAACCTGGGAGAAATGGAGTTACAGAAGAAAGTTTGAAATTACTGTTTTTCTGATTAAACAGCAGTTTGAGATCAGAAAGATAGGTCACATTCTTCGAGTAAATTTTTTTTTTTTTTTTTTTTTTTATTCATGAAAGTCAGAGAGAGAGAGAGAGGCAGAGGCAGAGGGAGAGAAGCAGGCTCCCCGCCTAGCAGGGAGCCCGATGCAGGACTCGATCCCAGGACCCTGGGATCATGACCTGAGCCGAAGGCAGACACTTAACCATCTGAGCCACCCAGGCGCCCCTCGAGTAAATTCTGAGGAGAAATTTTCAACTGCTTGGTTGACTTCAATGACTGCTTCTTAGAGGGCTTTGGTTCCATTACATTGTCTCCACGACAGCCACATCCTAGATACTTCCAATATCCAAAAACAACTTGACCTCTGAAATTGCTAATTTAGAAATTACCTCTGACCATGAGAGTTCTATTCCTTCACACATGTTCAAATTAGGTCATTGTCAGTCTGTTTTCACCTGTTTCACAAGCCCGGTCAAGATTATTAATACTCCTATCAATTCAATATCACTGTTGTCAGTGTCCTAAATAATCTTCTTCAGTCATACCTTCCTGGAAAATCCCATCCCTAGATGTATCCAATCCTCTATGGATTATTTCTGGAGAAGACCCAGTATTACTAAAAATTAATGTTAACTGGCCTCAACACTGCATGTTATCAATACTGTTTTGTCTAGTCAACTCTTCTCCCATTTTCTTAACAATTGTCTAAAGCCTCTATTCATAAACTTGTAACCCTCCTTCATTCTTAATTTGGCCTTGCTTTCTAGCTTACATAAGAAATAGATTTTATCAGGCAGAAATTCCTTCAACTCCTGCCTTCTCAATTCACAACCATGGAGAAGTTCCACTGCTTTAGATCACAGCCCAGCTCTATCACCATAGTGAAGAAGCTGAGTGACCTTGGGCATAACTAGATCTCTTTGGGTCTTCTTTCCTTGTCTATAAAATGAGGATAGCAATAGCAACTACCTTGTATGGTTACTGTGAGAATTTGATAAAGCAGATTAAAAGCTTTTCACACTAGTAGGTATTCAGTGCTCAATAAATACTACCTATAGTTAATCCTTTGCATCTTATGAACCTCGTGCTTTTGATTATCTTCCTTTGAGTCTTCAACCTCTCAATCTGTTGACCCTTTTCTGTCAACATTTGTACCCCCAGTATTTCACATCTTAAAAATAATTATTCCTAGATAATATATACTTAAGTTGTCATCCTACCTCATGCCCTTCACATCCAGTTTTAATAACTTGCTTCTATTACTGCTTCACTGCCATCCCCTCCCTCTTCATTTCAGAATGGTTTCTTTTTTTTTTTTTTTTTTTTTTTTAAGATTTTATTTATTTATTTGACAGACAGAGACACAGTGAGAGAGGGAACACAAGCAGGCGGAGTGGAAGAGGGAGAAGCAGGCTTCCCGCTGAGCAGGGAGCCCGATGCCGGGCTCGATCCCAGGACCCTGGGATCATGACCTGAGCCGAAGGCAGACGCTTAACGACTGAGCCACCCAGGCGCCCCCAGAATGGTTTCTACCCAACCTTGACAGAACTGCTTTGGAAACTTATCAAATCGGTGATTCTCATTTTCCTAAAACATAATTTTCAGTTAATTTCTTGCTTGACCTATTAGCACTTGACATTGTTAACCAGCATTCTTAAGATGAATATCCACTCTTGGGGTACATGAAGGGATTCAACAGAATTTCTGTACATCCACATGTTCTTATTACTAAATTGATCTTCCTGAAAACTACCTCTCCTTTCATGGTAGACTTTCTTGGTAAAGGAAAGAAAGGCAATACCTCTTCATCCCAAACCTCACAGTGATTTATCTTCCGAGTGGGTGAAGTCTGTCAAGGCTCCAAAAGGGACAATTTGAAATGTTGATATTGAGGCTTGAATGCAAGTCAGGTGGTTTCCAGTTCTATGCCTTTAATAAAAAATCGGTAGAGAAAGTGAATTGTCAGCTAATTTATTAGGGATACATTCTGGTGAAAGATCACTATGATGTTTGGCCTAGATGTCAAGAGTTGAGAGGACTGAGTGAAGTTATTACCAACTCTTCATATGAGCAAGGTTTCCCAGTGCTTTCACCTATAAAAATAGAAAATAGGAATTTTCTCCTTCAGGAATTCCAAGTTATGTGCATGTTCCATCTATCTACATGTCATTTTTATTTTTAAACCCTATTTTCTATTCCCCTTATTGTGATTTGAGCACTGTATATTCTGTCATTCCAATTTTATATCCATTTTTGTGAATTTTTTTTTCCTGAGTTCTGCCAGCTCACATTTCATTTTGTTGTTTGACCATATCCTCTTGTATTTCTGATGCCTGCTCTTATAGAGATGAATCTTCCATTAAGATATTAAGGTTATCATGAAATGTTTGATCATAATTCTCAACTACTTTGAGGCAATATTTTTGTGGTGTTCTTTATGTACTGTCTATTTTTCTTGATCTTTTCCTCTATTGTAATATCCTCATACAAAGCCTGTGCTAGTTCTCTGTTACTGTTTTTTATCAACTACAAATATTTACTGAGCACCTACTGTGTATCAGGCACAGTTCTAGCCACTGGGAGTATAGCAATGAACAAAAATGTTGAATGCTTTAGTGAGGCTTACATTCTGGTAGAGGGGTGACACACAAACATATATCAGATGAGATAAATATTAAGAAAACGGTAAAGGGATGCAGTGTAAGTAACTGAATAAGCCAGGGGCCACAGAGAGTTGTGAGATGAGCTCAAAGAGATCGCAGTAAGGAATAAGATCATTAGGGCCCTAATATGAACTTTGGATTTTATGCTGAGAAGAGAGATTGGAGAGAGTTTATTAATTAGAGTGACATGATCTAATGTAGCTTAGGCAGCTGTTTGAAAAAATTACTATTGAGAGTCAAATGTCAAAATGGAGAGCACAGTTACAAAATTATTGCAATATTCTAGGTGAGCACAGGAATGTGTATTAGGGTGTAATGGTGGAAGTAATGAAAAATTGATTCTGGATGCATTTGGAAGGTAGAACCACTAGTATTTGCCAGAAGACTGGACTAGCATCTGAGAGAGGAGTCAAAAATGAGTTCCCATTTACCTATATGAGGAAAACTGATGACTCATTTTAAATTAAGCTCTTCCCAGGTATTTGCAGGATTTTCATATTGAGGAGGGAACAAGCTAACAGATTTTTAGCGTGATCCAGAGTTACGTGTGTGAACCCCTCTAGCCCCGCCAATGAAGATCATATGCTACAGTAAAGGGCTCTTCACATGCAGGGTCTTCCTCTCTTCCCTGCCCCTCTCACAGGCTGGTCCTGCAAATAGCCTCCCCTTAGAGAAGACACTAGCTAGGTTTTTCAGATACTACAGAAGCAAGCATTCTCCTGTACTCTTCATTAGATATTCACTACTTTTTCAATTCTTTTAACCATTTGAGAGTTACAAGTCTCAGATGTCTCCTCGGTTTGTTGAAGCTGGAGTTTGTAGTTCCAGTTCTCACTTTCCTCATTGCTTTTGGGTGATTTCCAAAAGAAGAGAGAAGTGACTTCACTCTTCTGTCTCCAAACTGGAAGTAAGTCCACTTGAACGTCTCACACCCAAATTATTACTGCTT